AAAAAAAAAAAAAAAAAAAAAAAAAGAAAAGAAAAGAAAAAAGGAAAAAATTTAAAAACCCAGTGACAATGTTCTACCCCATCCATAATCAACATAAGAAACCATTTTCAAACTCCAGTTTAGCACATATTAAAAATACTGGTAACAACCAGTATTAGCAAAGGCATGAAAAAGAAAGCTTGTTACATACTGCTGGCAGAAAGGTAAGCTGGTATCATCTTTTGGGGTGATTTAGCAACATCAAAATTTTAAATGCATGTGCCCTTTGAACGGAAAACTCTATTTTTAAAAAGTAGTTATGATTGCTCTATAGACATGATTCTACATCTGACTTCTTATGCTCAGGTTAGGACCTGTCATTACCTCTCATTCTTTATAGTTGCAGAGTATTCTGTTATATTGATATACCATATTTTTATTTGACTAATCCTTTCCTGAAGATCATTAGAAATTTTTCTTTTCTTTTTCCTTTCTTTCCCTCTTTTTCAAGCCAACAGCCAACTTTATAACTGCAGATCAGAAAATCTAAAGGGTTTTCTTTTTTTTCTTTTCCTGAGAGGAATCATGAAGATATAGGGGAATTTATCATAAAACTTTTGAAACAAATACGGAACTCAAGAAAGAATAACATCTAATGAATGGCCTAATGCCAGCGGTACTATCCAGGCATACGTAGGCACTATTTACTCACCAATGGAATGTCTGAGCTCACTGCACTGGCTGACAGGAGGCAGCACCAGTAACTCCCTCCATTTTTTACTACGACCACTTTTTTTGCCATATCCTCCTGAATTTGGGAGAAAAAAGGCAATTTTTTTTAACAGTCAGAAATATCCAATTATAACAACTACTTCCACTAATACATCTTATCATTTCTGTTTGAGTGGTTTGGGTACCTATGATGAGTAAAAATACATGCTTATAACAATTTTTCTTATCTGGAAAGCTGCTTAATGATGTATAAAATTCCTGGGTGATAAAGGATTATAAATCGTTCTATAAGGACACATGCACACGAATGTTCATTGCACACTGTTTACAATAGCAAAGACTTGGAAACAACCCAAATGCCCATCGATGATAGACTAGACAGGGAAAATGTGGCACATATACACCATGGAATATTATGCAGCCATCAAAAACGACAAGCTCACGTCCTTTGTAGGGACATGGATGAACCTGGAAACCATCATTCTCAGCAAACTGACAGAAGAGCAGAAGATCAAACACCATATGTTCTCACTCATAGGTGAGTATTGAACGATGAGAACACATGGACACAGGGAGGGGAGCATCACACACTGGGGTCTATTGGGGGAAAATAGGGGAGGGACAGTGGGGGGTGGGGAGTTGGGGAGAGATAGCATGGGGAGAAATGCCAGATATAGGTGAAGGGGAGGAAGGCAGCAAATCATGCTGCCATGTGTGTACCTATGCAACAATCTTGCATGTTCTTCACATGTACCCCAAAACCTAAAATGCAATTAAAAAAAAAATTCCTGGGTGATGCAATCTGTCACTGGCCCTACCAGTTAGAAGCCATGGTGAGCCTCAGTTTCCAAATCTGTAAACCAGATCTAATATGACATATTGTTCAGGGTTGCTTATAAATATTTATCAAGAAATATTTATTGAGCATCTACTATGTACCAAACACCTTCAAAGCACTGGGAATACGATGGTAAAAAGACAAAGTCCCTCCCTTGCATTCTAAATGGGGGAGTGAGATGACGTGGCTCTGTATCCCATCCAAACCTCATCTCAAACCTAATACCCACATGCATTTGAGACGGGCCTGGTGGGAGTCCCATAACTGGATCATCAGGACGGATTCTGCATGCTGTTCCCATGATGAGGGAGTTCTCAGGAGATCTGATGGGTTTTTGTTTTTTTTTAGATGGAGTCTCACTGTGTCGCCAGGCTGGAGTGCAGTGGCACAATCTCGGCTCACTGCAAACTTCACCTCCCGGGTTCAAGTGATTCTCCTACCCTAGCCTCCAGAGTAGCTGGGACTACAGATGCACACCACCATGCCCAGCTAATTTTTGTATTTTTAGTAGAGACGGGGTTTCACCATGTTGGCCAGGATGGTCTTGATCTCTTGACCTTGTGATCCACCTGCCTCAGCCTCCCAAAGTGCTGTGATTATAGGCATGAGCCACCGCGCACGCCAAGATCTGATGGTTTAAAAGTGGCAATTTCCCCTGTGCTCTCTCTGTCTCCCTCTCGATCTCTCCTGCCGCCATGTCAGATGTGCCTTGCTTCCCCTTTGCTTTCCACCACGATTGTAAGTTTCCTGACGCCTCTCCAGCCACGCAGAACTGTGAGTCAATTAAACTTCTTTTGTTTATAAATTACCCAGTCTCCGGTAGTATCTTCATAGCAATGTGAAAATGGACTAATACAGGGAGAGAGATGCACAAAGCAGATCATGATAAGTGAGAAGAAAAACCAGCCAGTCATAGAGTGACAAACAAAATCCAGGTGAAGGTGGAGGGTGCCATTTTGACTAAGGTAGGATCAGAGACCTCCCTGCGAGGGTCACATTTGGGCAGAGACCTGAAGAATGCGAGTGACAGTCTTGGGAAGTTCTGGGAGAAGAGCATCCATGGTGAAACAAGAATGGTGGAAAAGGCTACAGTATTATACTTTAGAAAGATCTGGTAAACAAGCCCCATTTTTTTTCTTTAACTCAGAGAAATAAGCATCTTCAATCTCCAGCCTTCAGGATGGCTAAAATTTTACTAAATATCCAGAACATAATGGCTTAGGCTGGGTGACTAAGACTCCAGGACAATTTGGAAGAATTGGGACACCAGGGGGAAAGCCACATTGCCTTGGGAGATGACGAACTCTGTCTTAAATACGATGTGTGTGGAAAATTGTAAGAGACAGACATTTGGAAGATGGGTAGACTGGGATGAGCCCACAAGACACTCAGCTAGAGAAACAGACTTGATATCTGCAAAGAGATAACCATCGAAGATGCAAGCGTGTCTTTCTCAGCCTTCATTTCGCTATTCTACTCCCCCGACTCAATACCTCAACCGAGATCATGAGCTCTGGACTCATGTTCCACACCACCAGATGTCCAGAGCACCTGATGTTCAACATGTCCACCTTAGAGTCATTAGCTTCCCCCTCAAATCCAGTCCACATTTTTTCTTTTTGTTAAGATTTGTTTATTTAACAAACATGTAACAACCACCTGCCAATGCCAGAGAATATGCTTAAATGCTGCATCAGTGACGGCCATGTCCCGTGTCACTGAAGGGTGGGGAAAGGGGATGGTGCTCCTCCTGTCGCTTCACGGAGAACACAGAAACTCATTCCAGAGAAGCAGTAGGTTCTGAAAAAAGGCCGTCATCTTTGGTTATGGCTCCTTTTTTTCAGGGCTCTTGCCAGGTCTCCCTTAAGTTGAAATAAGAACTGTTCTTTGGGATACGCCACTTTTGTCTGACCTCTTAAAGGAGCACAGAGCTGAGCCGTCACTTGCCCGATGCACTACTCTGCCCTCTGTGTTCCAAACGTGGACAACAAGCATGACCTACAAGTGCCCTGGGGCATGGCTTACGTCTTCAGTGGTGCCTCTGCGCCCGAGCTGCCAAATCACTGAGTAGAGATAAAGTCCCTCTTGCTCTTATTCGTATTTCACTATCTCTTGGTCCCGGGCCTCTCCCAAACTTTATACTACTCAAGTAACTAGCAAGAAACATGGCAGCCTGGCTGCTACGTCCTTCCTTTCCGAAGCCTGACACTGTCTGGAGGCTTAGAACCAGTACTTCCACCTTGTCAGGAGCCGAGCAGCAAGGCAGACAGGGCCTGGATGAGGTGGTGATGGCAGCAGTGGCCACGGCCAGTGGGAGCCAGGAACAGGTGGGAGTCCCAGCCCCTTGTGGGTTGGTGGTGCGGAAACCCGGCACTACTGAGAGCAGCTGCAGCCGCCCAGCCACAGCTGGCAACACGGGCATCCCAGTGCTCTCGGGCCCAGAAAGGCCCCTGCCCCCGCAGGCTTGGAAGTGCCCATTCCCACTGCCTGGCCTCTCGCTGCTCCTGGTACCTGCTCCAACTCTGGAGCAGAGCTGTGGCTGAGCCAGAGCACTGTCACGACCCAGCCAGGTGTCACTGGCCTGTTTGGGGATTTGGCTACTGTATCACTCTCTCCTGATTTCTCAGAAGGTCAAACAACCTTCAGCATGGTGACATGGAACTTTAGCATGAGTGACTCCATTTTGGTTTGATTTGTTGGGCCTAGTACAGGAGCTCAGTACAAACCAATGGCCACTGTTAACAGCTTAACAAGATCAAAAGCCACTATGTTCCTGGGAGAAGTATGGTGCTGAAGAACTTGGATCAAGGATGAAGACAGCCTTGAACTGCTTGAGCCTTCAAACAACTTTCAAGCCCATAAACTTAAATCAGTAGAAGTCCATCTGCAAAGCTCAGCACTGCTCAAGAAACCTGTGGAGGTTCATGTGTCTGCCCATCTCAGCTGGCTCAAGGAGGAAAATAACCTGGGGGAGGGGCCATGGGACATGGTGAACAGATGAGGGCAAATCTGGGCATGAATCAAGGAACGTTCCCACCCCCACAGGGCCCCTTCATGGACAGACCAGTGTCTACTGAGGGCACCCCATTCTTCCTTTTCTAAAAGGGAGTCTCTATGATAGTCGCCCTGCCTCTGCCCCCCACGGTACGTTAGGTATGAGGAGGGAAGACCATTTGGTTGTTTATGTAGGCTGCTGAATCCTGAGGAGCCACGGCAGGCACTCACAGAGGAAACACGGCAGGAGAGGTCATTTTGCTCTTTGAAGGGAGATTAGGATCCCTGTAAGGGAAGTCTGTGCATGGATATTTGGTGGCTAGAGGGGCAGACATGGCATGGCCAGCCAGCTGTCCTATGCTGATTCCAGACGCACTCCCATGATGGAGAGTTGTTGCCAGGAAGTGTCTGCCCCAGTTGCACTTAGTGGCCACGTGACGCAGCAGCATACAAAACAGGTGTACCACTTGGTGACAGGTGCACCAACATCTCAGAAATCACCACTAAAGAATTTTTTCATGCACCCAAAATACCACCTGTTCCCCCAAAACTATCAGAATAAAAAACAACAAAAAAAGGGCATGCCCACTTCCAGGGTTGGACAATCCTCCATGTTCCCTGAGCTAAGTACTTCCCTCCATGACTGTCAGCTTCTCAGAGGGGGAGATTTGTGTTTTCATTCATCCCTGTATCCCCAGAGCCGAGCTGAGTGCCTGGCACACAATAAACCGTTTTAGAATGAAGATGAAGTAACTGGTACAGTCGTAGAGATGGCATAAAGAGGGCGCTGAGATATAAAGCCAGGTCTGGCTGGCTCCAAAGTCCATGATCTTAACTGCTATTCATACATTCATTCATTCATTCAACAAATATTTACTAAGCATCTAATGTGTGCCAGCCACTGTTCTAGGCACTAAAAATGCAGTAGTGAATAAAGCAAATAAAACTTCCTCTTCTTATAAAGCTTACATTTTAGAGAAAAAGCCCGACAAACACAATTCAAGTAAAATTTAGATTATCTAAGATAATAATAAGTGCTGTGGGGAAAAATAAAAGAAGGAAAAGAAGGAGTAAATGCGAGCCAGGAATGGCAGTGTGCACCTATAATCCCAGCTCCCGGGGAGGCTTAGGCAGGCTCGCTTGAGCCCAGGGGTTCGAGGCCAGCCTAAGCAACATAAGGAGAACCTGTCTCCAAGAAAAAAAAGGGTAAATGAGGGGAGGGGTGGTAGCCAGGAAACTCCTCAGGTGAGAGAATAAACCCTGTAAGAAGAACTTCTCGAGAGACAGAAGAAACTGTGTCGAGGCAGAGTGAGCGAGGGCGGATGAGGCTGCAGCGGGGTCTTCAGGCCACTGCAGGGGCCACGGCTTTCACTGAGTTGTCTGGGAAGCCATGAAGAGGGTTCGGAGGGGCCAACACAATCTGACTTAAATTTTAGTGGGATCACTCTGGTTGCTGTGCTGAAAACAGGCTGTCGGGTGGAAAGGCAGAAGCTGCCCGCAGTGTTCCAGTGAGATGCTGACGGCTTGAGCCATGTGATCGCCGTGGAGAAGGTGAGGAAAGGCTGCATTCTGCTGCGTTGTGAAACGAGGGCTGAACACGCTGTCCAAGGACTGAGAGTCAGGGTGTGAGGAAGTCAAGGGCAGCTCCACTAACTGAGCATTAACTGAGGTGCAGACGCAAACATCGGGGTGCTGGGTGGGTACTCGGGGTCTGGTGTAGGCTCTTTCTGGTACCCATGGTGCTTCCATGTGGCGATGCCAGGTAGGCAGCAGCACAGTGAGCCGTAGTGTGAGTGGGGAGGCCCAGCCCACAGGCGTGGACTGGAGAGACAGGAGCTTGCTTCAAGCCACGGTACTACAAGAGCACAAGGGAGCAAGTGTGGATGGAGAAGGCAAGAAGTCCCTGGACGAGGATCAGGGGCATTTGATATTTAAAGGTCTACAAGATAAAGTCTAGACTGCCTGGGAGACCAGCCCAGCAGCGGAACAGGAAGGGTGATGACGTAGAAGAGCACGCTCACGGAAGAAAGCACGATGCGCTGCACTGGCGCAGCCCGTGGGGCAGCAAGACAAGGACCAAGAACCAATCCCTGTGACTTGGCAAGGGTGGCTTTGGTGAGGTGGTGGAGGGGAGAACTCAGCACCAAGCACCTGACTCTGCACTTACTTGTTTGAAGAGCAAATAACAAGATCAGGTGTGGTGGCTCACGCCTGGAATTCCAGCACTTTGGGAGGCCAAGGTGGGCGGATCACTTTGGTTCAGGAGTTTGAGGCCAGCCTGGGCAACATGATGGAACCCCATCTCTATAAAAAATACAAACATTAGCCAGGAATGGTGGTGTGCACCTGTAGTCCTAGCTACTCGGGAGGCTGAGGCAAGAGAATCACTTGAGCCTAGGAGGCGGAGACTGCAGAGAGCCAAGATCATGCCACTGCACTCCAGCCTGGGTGATAAGAGTGAGATCCTGTCAAAAAAAATTTTTTTAGGAGTAATAACAAACACACACAGCAGTGCACACACTGCAAACCTCTAAACACGGGACCCCCCCTCCCAAATATTACTAGAGCTGGGGCATAGAGCTGCACACCACAGCTACACAAAGTCCCCTGGCTTGGTCTAAGGGACAGAGTGTCACAGGTTAAAGAGAGAGAGAAGAAGGGGGCCCTTGCCACAGATTCAGGGCACATGTGCTGAACCCTAGCAGCCACTCTACCCCTCATTCAACGGTCCTTGGTTCCAAAAGTCTCCACTGGCACAGCACTCTCCTGCTGTTCTGCCCAGGCCTGGTCACACTCCAGGTGGGCTGGCTATGCTGTTGATACTACGCGAAGACAAGCAGGCCAGAAGGTAAAGGAACAGGCAAGATGACGCAGAGCACAATAAGTCATGGGACCGTGGCGAGGTCAATGGTGGCTGGCAGGACCACAGGCATTTAAAAGGAAGATCATCCACAGACACTAAAGTCTGGGCAGCATACTGGGTTGAAAACTGTCAGAGGAAAGCTTCTGAGGTCCCCAAAAGCAGGCAGTGAAGTGGGGCCACACTGTTTGAAGGCCCCAGGATCCCCTCTACGGGCGGCCTTCATCTGTTTTTTTGGTTTTTTTTTTGAGATGGAGTCTGGCTCTGTTGCTCAGGCTAGAGTGCAGTGGTGTGATCTCAGCTCCCTGCAACCTCTGCCTCCCGGGTTCAAGCAATTCTCACAGTTCTGGCAGCTAGGAAATCCAAGATCAAGACAGATTTGGTGTCTGGTGAGGGCCCACTCTCTGACTCATAGCTGGCACTTTCTGAGTCCTTCACATGGTGGAAGGAGTGAGGGGTATCTCCCCACTTGCTTTTATAAAGGCAATAACCCCCTTCACGAGGGCTCCTCTCTTATGACACAGTCACCCCCCAAAGGCCCCACCTCCTAATTCCATCACCTTCGTACCTAAGATTCTAACATCAGAATTTTGGGGGAACACAAACATTCAGACCATGGGGGGGACCAGAGGCCGGGGGGACTAAGATTGACTGACTCTATTTGAAACAAATCCAGGACATGACCAGACTAAGTAATATTATATCAATATTGCACTTCTCAGGACTAGAGTGTAACTCTTGTGCTATGTTCATTCATTTCAAAGGTGAATTTTCTAGTACATGAGTCAAAGAAGCTAAACAAGGAGCTGTCTGTCCATGAATAGTTCCGTGTCCAAGAAGATACCTCCTGGTACGTCCTGGGAGATACTTGCAAGTAACAAATGCAGACATCAACTTGGAAAAACAGCCCTAAATCATAACCAACACTCAGCATATATCCATGTATTTCTGATACTATATGTTCAACTTCTCTAGCCATTAATCAAACTGTACATCATGACTTTTTGAACACAGGAGCAAATGCTCTCACTCAATGAGGCAGACCTCATAATCACACACCACAGAGCTAATATGAGATATTTCAGGGAAAGAAATTAAAACTTTTGTTTTTTAAACTATCACTGTGGTCCTAGGCTTTGTGGCAGAATCTGGTTTAACGTTGCCTAGCATTTATAGAACACTTAGATTTACCTCATTAGCTAATCTCTGCAGCATTATAAGGAAGTCAGCCTGGTAGAATTCCTTTTTGTAAATTATATGCAGATAGGAAGGAGGTGTAAAAAGAAAACTGGCTGAGCTCCAATCTGGCTTCCACTAAGTATGATTCTCTTCCATGACCAGTCTGGAGTTCAGAGTGAGGGACAAGAGGCATAGTCAAGTGCTCCACTGAAACGAGGGTGATGAGAACGTACACCGCTCTGGGACTCCCGAGGTGTCTTAAGGGAGAAAGATCCCATTCTCTTCCACCCCCATTCTCAGTTCTTCCATTCAAAATAGTGTGAGTTGGTACACAAAAATACTGAGAAGGTGAAGTCTTTGCTCTCAACTTCTTTTTTTTTTTTTTGAGATGGAATCTCAACTCTGTCACCCAGGCTGGAGTGCAGTGGCACACGCAGCTCACTGCAACCTCTGCCTTCCGGGCTCAAGTGATTCTCCTGCCTCAACCTCCGGAATAGCTGGGATTACAGGCAGTGCCACTACACCCAGCTAATTGTTTCTATTTTTAGTAGAGGCAGGGTTTCACCATTTGAGCCAAGTTGGTCTCAGACTCCTGCTCATGATTTGCCCACCTCAGCCTCCCAAAGTGCTGGGATTACAGGCGTGAGCCACTGCGCCCGGCCTTGTTTTCAACTTTTTTTAAAAGACAGTCTTGCTGTGTTTGCCCAGGCTGGACTCTCCTGGGCTCAAGCGATCCTCCCACCTTAGCTTCCAGAGTAGCTGGGACTATAAGCGAGGCCACCACCCCGGCTCCAGATTGTCTTTTAAATATGCAGGCTGGCTGGTGTGGCACCTTGAGTCGGTATTTACCCCGTCCTGCAGCACAAAGTTCGAGCAGAGCTGCTCCGTCACGCAAGGAAATGGAGGAAACCACCAATTCTGTAAGAGGGAAGGGGCGTGAAGAACTACTGTGGCTGGCACGGGGACCTGAGGTCCGAGGCTCTGTTGCCTGCTCTCCTGAGAGGCAAGAAAGGGAGACATGGGGTCTGAGACAGAGGATTGCGGGGGTCTCCTGCTGACAAGTTGGCCAACTGATACCTCCATATTGATAAAAGAGTGAATGCTTGCCAGCTTGTCCATCTGTCACCACGTCGTGCTAAGGCGCACTTGACACACCATAAAGCCTCGGATCAAACCTCAAAACCAAGCAGCTATGTTAAAAATAACATTGTCCTGCAGTCGTTCACGGAAGGTTCTCGCCCAGAATGCTTTCCATGCTGCTCTTCTTTGTCCGCCTGAAGACCATAAAGACGCGGTTCTTTTTCGGTGGGCCAGGTTGTCCGATACCAGCAGGACACTGCCTGCCTCATGCAGAAGCAACGCTGTCACCGAGGTCACACCTAGAGGACAGGACCAGGACACAGGGCCAGACTACCAAGAGTTTCTCTCATCTGGGCCCGGAGATGCGGACTGGGGACCTGGCCAGGGCAGCCTGACAGCACCCCGGCTCGGGATCCGTGCGGATCTGGGTTCCCCAGTGGGAGGTGTCGGGCTCTCCCGGGAAATCGGGGTTCCCTGGGGCCATCGGGGGCGCCTGCCGCGCACCCACCTTGACGCGCTTTCAGCAGCAGCGAGTTGGCCACGATGTTCTCAAGCTCCATGTCCCGGCGCCGCCGCTGCCGCCGGCGGATTCTGCGAAACCCAGAAGACTGAGGGGTCGGAACACTGCGAGGCGCCGCCGCCTCCGCGCATAGCTCGCCGGGCGCCACCCGCTCCTCCGGCCCCGGACACGGTCCCGGGGGGCCGGCCCGCCGCCGCCGCCACCACTGCCACCACGGGCGCCGCCGCCGGCTCTGCCTCCGCCTCCGCCGCCACCACTGCCACCACGGGCGCCGCCGCCGCCGCCGGCCCTTGCCAGCAGGGGAGAGGTCGGGGCGAGGGGAGGGGGCAGCTCGACGGCGGCGGGTCCCAGCTGTCACCGGCGCCGCGCTGTCGCCCCGGCTCTTCTCGGCCCCATGGCCCTCGCCTTGTGCGCGCAACTCTCTCCTCAGGGCCGGGCCCCCGGGCAGCCCCGAGTCAACGCCGAGGCCCACCCCAGGCAGGGGCTCACTGGCAAGGGCGCCGCCGCCGCCGCCGCGACCCGCACCGGGGCAGGCTCCGCGCTAACGGCTTAGCTCTAGTGAGCGCGCCCCTCGCCGCCGCGCCCGGGGCACTACAGCTCCCAGAAGGCCCTGCGCCGGGAGTACGCGCGGGCCGCGGCGCGTGGCCTGCTGGGAGTTATAGTCGCTGAGCCTTTCGGCAAGTAAAGTCGAGCAAAAGCCTGCGGGCGCGGTGTTTATTTCTCGCGAGCTCCGAGGTGCTGCGCAATTCTCGCGAGACGAGGCGGGGGGCGGATCCACGGCCCCGCACGTGTTTCGGGGTGTCGCGCGCCGCGACTCATGGGATCTCGGCGCCTTGGGTGCAGCGGAGCGCGCCCGCCATGGGGAAGGCCAAGAAGGTCAAGGCGCGAAGGAAGCCCTCCGGGGCGCCGGCGGGAGCGCGAGGGGGCCCGGCGAAGGCCAGCTCCAATCCGTTCGAGGTGAAAGTCAACAGGCAGAAGTTCCAGATCCTGGGCCGGAAGACGCGCCACGACGTGGGGCTGCCCGGCGTGTCCCGCGCACGAGCCCTTAGAAAGGTAAGCGGGGGGCGGGGGGGGGCGCGGGGGGCGCAGGGGGCGCCGGAAGGCAAGATCTGGGCCGCATGCTGCTCTCGGGCCGGCTGCGTCTGTCTCTGTGCGTCGGTTTTATCGTCTGAGTGGTGGAGGCCGTGACAGAGACCCGGCACTAACTTTGTAGTTCGAAAGCCTCTGCTGTTCTCTGGGCTGGAATGATCTGGAAACTCGCGCCCTCTTGGAGACCCTGCACTCCTGTCGTTTTGGTGACTCCTCCAACCGCGTCAGGCGGAGTCAGTCACTGCGGCGGCGCCCTGGACAGCTGCTGGTTAACCCTTCCGCGTTTAGACTTAAGGCCCCGCGGGTTCGGGGGCCGTGGGTAGGGGTTGTGTGGGATGCACCGTTTGATGTTTGAGCGGCTCTCCCTGAAGCGCGTGACCTTGATCCTTGGAAAGTAACGCTATGGAAACTCATGGTTTCCTAGCTTTTTAAATATAATTAAAAAAATTTTTTTTTCACTGAGGAACATACAGTCGTAGGTTGGTGAAAAAATTAAGGCACAGAAAGGACAAGTGAATTTCCTAAGGTCACACAGCTGGTAAGGGCTGGCCACATTTCAACGTCTGCAGAGCCTTCTTGGTACCCCGAGCGCTCCTGTTGGAGCTTACTTCTAGGTTCTGGGAGATAAAGGTAAATACGTCTTGCCCCTGCCTTCATGAGTTCCTGATCTCTATTCTATCACAGTGTGCAAGCTGGGTGGCCTTTGAATTAAATCAGATGCTATCCTTAACTGCACAAAGATGACAGCATGTATAATAGGCAAGATAGACTTGCAGCTGACTTTGATAAGAACCCCTCATTACACACCCCAGAGCAGGGGTGGGAGAATAAGGTAGTGTGGTCCCGAGAATAGACACATTTGTCTTCACCACTGAAGCCTCTCAGTTTTCTCATTTCTGAAGTAGAGGTAATAATATACATCCTACCCCTCGTGGTGGTTTATGAGAATTAAATAAGGTAGCACATAGCAAGTATGCTCTAAATACTAACTGTTATTCTTAACCTTCTCGTCTTGTCGTTCGAGTCCCGTACAGTTTGGCTGTTGTCCTTGAGTCTTGTCTTGCTCGGTTTGTCCAGAAAGGCCAGCCCCACCTCCCAGAGTCTCTAAAGGGCCAGCTCAGGTTCACCACCCAAGCTCTGTAGCCCAAACAGGACAGGCTGCTCAGACTTCTGGTATTGAACAGGTCCACCTCACTTCTCTGCTGCAGGCCTGGGAAGGGGCGGGAATTGCTGCTCCTTTTTGGATCTCCAGTGCTTGGCCCGTGGTAGAAACACAAATATTTGAAGAAATCAAAAGTGGAACCTGAGTGCCTCAGGAGATCACAGGAAAACGTGTAATAGGAGAGTCCACAACTTCTTCCTAGAGGGAATTACAGTCAAGCTCCGCAGGGGGTGTGGCACTCAGCAGGGACAGCAGGTCATTCAGTTGACTCCGAGCTCGGTGACACATGCAGGGGCACGTGCGGCCAGCAGCACGTAGGAGGTCTTGTCATGTGGGCTGGTCCCTTAGAAATAAATGGGCTGGGCGCAGTGGTGCACGCCTGTAATCCCAGCACTTTGGGAGGCCAAGGCGGGCGGATCACGTGGTCAAGAGATTGAGACCATCCTGGCCAACATGGTGAAACCCCGTCTCTACTAAAAATACAAAAATTAGCTGGGCATGGTGGTTCATGCCTGTAGTCCCAGCTACTCAGGTGGCTGAGGCAGGAGAATTGCTTGAACCCGGGAGGTGGAGGTTGCAGTGAGCCGAGATCACGCCACTGCACTCCAGCCTGGTGACAGAGCGAGATTCTGTCTCAAAAAAGAGAAATAAATGGGCTGTCTGGGTTGGCTTCTCTCTACCGGTCGGTTGCAGCACTCGGAGGCACGCAGTCGGGCAGGAAGAGGGCAGCTCTGTGTTCAGACTGCCGGGTTCCAGTTTCAGGATATCACCGTAGAGCCGTGCCTCAGTTTCCTTATTTCTGAGACAATTTATAAAATAAGTTATATTAATATAGTTGTTGATCACTAACTATATTATTAATATGATTGCTGATCCCTTAGAGTTGGTCAGGAATTGTGCCAAGTGTAGGGCATGTTGGGCACCAGATGTAAGGCTGAGTGCCCCACAGGGTCGTGGGGTGAGCCTTATGCTGTGCTGAGGCGCAGGGTCCGAGAAATAAAGAGACAGGACGCAGAAGTACAAAGAAAATGCAGCTGGGCTCGGGGGTCCACGCCACCTATAAGCAGTCAGGCAAGGCTGGCGAGGCTCCACATGTCCAGAAGCATGAGTATTTATTGTGTATAGGTTAGGGGGCAGGGCA